AACAACAACGCATGAACATCTTGCTAAATATCTGCCTATGAAAATCATATTGATTTGGAATGGCATAATAGTCTATAAATGCAGAATTTTTTAATTATATAATTTAAAGACAATAAATATTATTTTGCATACACACACACACACACACACACACATATATATGTGTGTGTGTGTGCATGCACTGCTAAAAAAAGGTGCACAAACATCTTTCTACATATCTGCCTTTAAAAATCATATTAATTGAAACAATCATGGCAGTTTGAAAATAACAAATTACACAAATCTGCATTAAATATAGAAATGTTACATAAAATGCATAAATATGCATATGTTACATATTAAATATATACTGTATATATATATATATATATATATAATATATACATGAAGTCTTTACTAAATGTAAATGTATGTATATTTTTTGTATATGTATGTATATATACTGTATATATATACGTATATAAACACACACACACACACACACACACACATACATACATATGTTACATATTATATATATGTGTGCATGTGTGTATGAAAGTTTAAATAAAAATTGATGATGGTCCCTAAATTATGACAAAATTTAGAATTATTTTACGCAAAAAAAAAACCATTATATAAAAATGTAAAATAATATATACAAAATGTAAAAAATACATATTTATTTCTGAAATATGTGGACAGCTATCTGCTTGATAATCTATTACAAAACTTCCCTGTAGTTTAAACAGTACAGCATGGCGCTGGCAACCTCAAGATCATGGGTTCAATTCCCAGAGAAAGCAAGTACTGATAAAATGTAAATGCGTACCTTGAATGCCATGTAAGTCACTTCAGATAAAAGCATTTGTCAAATGCATAAATGCAAAGGATCAGTAGGCAGTATACAGTACACACTTCCCAAATAGTAGTATGCTAGTATGCCATTCAAAACACAGCCGGAGAGAGAACCATCCCGTCACATTTATTGAGAGAGGTGACATTTTGACCTTGTCTTGGAAAGTGACCTCTAGGAGCTCTCTTTAGATGTGTTCTCACTCCCTGAGGGAGGATGAGGAGAGGTGAGGGAAGAGATGAGGGCTTTATTCCCTCTTGCTGTGGCTTTTATTCTTAGCACTAAAGCCACTGCGCTGACTCTGGCACGTAGGATGGCACTGCACGTCTGCCTGAGCCTCTGATATCCTCCAAATCAAGATGCAAACAACTCCCCCGTGCAACTTTATTACATTGCCGGGAAAACAAAGCGTATGTGCAACACAGTCCAAACAAAATCAAGTCGATGTGAAACGCCGTTTTTTTCACAATGTTACATATTTTGGAGTGAAATATTTAATCAGAAAAAAATGAAGAGGACTGAGAATTACACTACTGTTCAAAAGTTTGGGGTCAGTAAGAATATTTTTGTGAAATAAATTATTACTTTTATTCAGCAAGGATGCATTAAAGGGGTCATATGACGTTGCTAAAAAAGAACATTATTTTGTGTATTGTTGCATCCAGTGGGGACATAATTACGGATTATAATGACTTATACTGTCTTTTTACGCATTGCGTTGCATTGCGTTGCATCGCGCAGCGTAAACATAAAACCATGTCAGCATTTGTTATCGGAGAAATAACAAACAGTAAATACAACTTAACAACTGATTTCTAGTTGTGTCCTCTTTTGGAAGGCCAGACAAAGTAGTTTCACTTTCATAACGAAACACACAGCGTCTTCACGACATGGCGGCTGCGGCAACAACAATACTACAGCTAGAATAAAAGTTACGCCTTCTTACGTGACGTTATGCAAATCTTCCCACAGTTACGTAGACATGTGAGGGCGTGTTTAAACGAGGCGTTTTAGGAGGGTGTGGACGAGTCTTAACTTTTATAAAGAATATCTCTTTGGGTTTGAGACTTTAGTCTTTGCAGCTTTAGGGATTTTATCTATTCACGAACAGCTTGTAACACTCCAAAGAGAAACGAAAACTTGAAATCGCATCATATGACCCCTTTAAATTGATAAAAAGTGACCGTAAAGAGTCATTTATAATGTTACAAAAGATTTCTATTTCAAATAAATGCTGTTCTTTTTAACTTTCTATTCATTAAAAAAGGAACAACAGTTCATAAAATTCCAAAAAATAAAACAGTCCATAAAATTATTAAATATTTTAAACATTGGTAATAATAATAAATAAATGTTTATTGAGAAACCAAATCAGCATATTAGAATGATTTCTGAAGGATCATTTGACACTGAAGACTGGAGTAATGATGCTGAAAATTCAGATTTGAGTCCAAACTTTTGAAAGGTAGTGTATGTGGATTGTAAAAAGTCCATTAAGTATCATAACAGAGTACTATAGAGCCAGACAATGGATTTGTAACCATACAAAGTCATTACACTTTGACAAAAAAACTATTTTTTCTTTTGGAGTGATGTGTACCAATGATGAAACATTGACAATAAGAAACAGAAATGCGTATTTATAAAGCAAACTTCATCAATTTTGAGTTTTTAAAACCACAGTCATTTGATATGGTGCATCACAGCTGTAAAGTGCATTTGCTGTACATTGGCAATTAGTCACAGAAAGCCGGCGATGTATTGGACGGAGATGTTCTCGTTTAAGAATCTAGAGCTCTCTGTAATTACTCCTGTTGTGCCTACACTCCAGACGCTCTCAGAGGAAATTCAGCTAATTGGTGCTGGAAAGAGAAATGAGTCTGGGGCCAAACCAGTGATCTCCTTTACTCGCCTTCTAAACTGCGCTTTTGAGGTGCACACAACAGCAGACAGCGCGTTTGGGTGAACGTAGTCGGATCTATAATTGAACATTTACATCATCCTCCGAGGTGAAACGAGGAAAGCCTGAGCTCCTCTGCGCTCTTGTTTTATGAGAGTTAAGGTGACCAGCAGCCCGAGGTACACAGGAAATTGAATCACGCTTCCTTCCTGTAAGTCCTAGCAGCATTTGGTCTTACTCAGAGCACTGAACTGCAAAGAATGAAGCCACAACATCACCATGCTGATGTACTGCGGCCACATGGGAAATACCATTTGCATTGTTAAAAATATCAAATGAACTGATAAACATCCGCTTTGTCAAAGTTCATCTATCTTTCTAGCATTCTATCCATCTATCCATCTTTCTAGTGTTCTATCCTTCTAGCGTTCTATCCATCTATCCATCCATCTCTTCATCTATCTTTCTAGATCCAATCCACCATTTTGCTTGTGTGCTATCTTTCTAGTGTTCTATTCATCCATCTTTCTATACATTTATCCATCCATCCATCCATCCATCCAGATTCATTCTTCCCACTGGTCACTCTGGTGCGACTTACTTTCTCAGTTGGTCACACGAGCACATGATTTGGTTGCACTATTTATTTTATTATATTTATTTATTTATTTTGCTACAACATGGGATTAATCAATGCATGCTGATGAATATTTTTTTCTTTTATCATAGTTTATAGTTATATGCTAACAAAAGTGGTTAACATTCAACCCGTTCTTTTTCATCAGTATTATTTGTGATTTGAATTTTGTGAATAGAAGTTCCTCTTTTGCTGTGTTATAAGCCGGGCATCAGATGCTTTCACTTTCACTTTCGAATTCGTTTTAAAATGAAAACAAAAAGAAAAGTAAAACTAAACTGGCTGATGATAACTGTGCTTGCATGTTTTTTTTCTCCAAGAAAACCAACATGTTCACCTTCTCTAGAAGAAAAGAAGCAGTCTTTTACTTGACCTTTGCGCTCATGCTGACGCGTCGAGTATAATCCAGGCTATACACCAAAGCGCTCACACTTTCTCAATCTCTTCACATGATCAGTGAAGTCTGACTCCTGCTGAACTGTGCTGTGGCTCTGCAGCGCTCGCTGTATGGAGCAGGGCAGACCATGCACTCGCACAAATGCGACCACGCAAATTTTAACTCGCACATTCTCAGAAAATTGTTGCATATGGGACCATTTTGGTAGCAGTCTAGAGCCCTGCCATCTCTTCATCAATCTATCTATCATTTATCTTTCTAGTGTTCTATCCATCTATCCATGCATCCATCCATCCTCCATTTTTTTAGTGTACTATCTTTCTAGCGTTTGATCCATCTATCTATCCATCCATCCATTTTTCTAGTGTTCTATCCATCTATCTATGCATCCATCCATCCTCCATTTTTTTAGTGTACTATCTTTTTAGCGTTTGATCCATCTATCTATCCATCCATCCATTTTTCTAGTGTTCTATCCATCTATCTATGCATCCATCCATCCTCCATTTTTTTAGTGTACTATCTTTTTAGCGTTTGATCCATCTATCTATCCATCCATCCATTTTTCTAGTGTTCTATCCATCTATCTATCATCCATCCATCTTCTAGTGTTCTATCTTTCTAGCGTTTTATCCATCTATCCATCCATCATCCATCTTTCAAGCGTCCCATCCATCTGTCCATCCATCTTTCTAGCTTTCCATCATCTATGCATCTATCCATCCATCCATCTTTCTAGTGTTCTATCTTTCTAGCATATCTATCTATATATCTACCCATCTATCATTCATCCATCTCTATATCTTTTTAGCATTCTATCCATCCATCAGCAATCTAACATTCTAGTGTTCTATCGTTCTCATGTTCTATCCATCTATCCACCCATCAACTCATCCATCCATCCATCATTCATTCATCTTTCTAGCATTCCATCTATCCATCCATTCATCTTTCTAGTGTCTATCTACCCATCTATCATCCGTCCATCTCTCTATCTTTCTAGCATTCCATCCATCCATCCATCCATCTTTCTAGCATTTTATCATCTATCCATCCATCTATCATTCACCCATCACTCCATCCATCTTTCTAGCATTTTATCATCTATCCATGTATCTATCTTTCTAACGTTCAAACTTTCTAGCATTCCATCCACCCATCTGTCCCAGCTCTGAGCTTTAACTACTATGCCACACCATTCATCCATCCATGCACTGTGAGAGTAACTTACGTAGTCGTGGAATGCCTTGGCTTCACTGGAATGCTCACAGGTTTCTCTCCTTTCAGGTGCCGCACAATATAAATCCCAGAATACACTGCAAACCACACAGGAATGAATGAAGCAGTTGCCATGAACAACACATCAGCACATGAGAAACATTTAACAATGCCAATCATACCACCACCATGAATGTAAGAATCCTGGAGGTTCTCCTAACGTTATGTTCTTCTCCCATCTTATCTGGGGAGAAAGTTGAGAAATACATTGTAAGACTCGTTTCACAGTAAGACTACTTTCCTTTCATTAAATGCCCACCAGCATGTTTTTTTCTAGTCAGCCAGGCTAAATAACTGGTCAATATTTGGCGAGTCCACTTTGCAGAGGCTGTGATTCCCCTTGTATTAGTTCCAAAATATAAAGACATCTTTGTTAATTGATGATGCATAACTGTTTTCAAGTGTAATTTTTGAGTAAATATGTATGATTTGTAAAATCTGTTTAATTTCAGCAACAAAGTGGAGTCCAAAGGAATACCATCTCAGGTCAAATTTAATACAAATTATATTATCAGCTATAATAATTTGAATTTTAAAAAAATTCATAAAAAAATAAAATTAAAAAATTAAAAACAAACAAATAAATAAAAATAAAATAATTAATTAATTAATTTTTGCCTTCTTGATTAGTAACCTAGAAATAGTCCAGTATCTTAACTATTTATTCTTATTTTTATGTCATAACTTTTCTTGGTTTGAGATCTTTCAAAATCCCAAAACTTTGTTCATTTCCAGGTTTACATAGGATTTTTATTTCTAGATTTTGTTCAGAAGTCGGGGTCAAGAAGTCTCTTATGCTGACCAAGGCTGAATTTATTTGATCAAAAACACAGTAAAAACAGTAATATTGTGAAATATTTTTATAATTTTTAATAACTGCTTTAAAAACTGCTTTAATTAAAAAATTTAATTTATTCCTGTGATGCAAAGCTGAATTTTCAGCATCATTACTCCAGTCTTCAGTGTCACATGATTCTTCAGAAATCAATCTAATACACTGATTTGCTGCTCAAGAAACATTTCTTATTATTATCAATGTTGAAACCGTTATGCTGCTTAATATGTTTGTGGAAACTGTGATACTTTTTTCAGGATTCTTTGTTGAATAAAAAATTCAAAACAGCATTTATTTGAAATTTACTGTCACTTTCAATCAATTCAATGTTTCCTTTCTGAATAAAAATATTAATTTCAACCACATTCATCCACTAGTACTAAACTAGTTTAAGTGTATGTTTTACATTATTTGTAGTACATTTAAACTGGACCAAACCTGCTGTTTTGTTTTGTGTTTTAAACACACTTCTCTCTTCTTAGATACAAAGTAGCTCACTTAAAATAGTCTAGTCTGAGACATTTGGACAAGTTAACCTTGCAAATCTGAATATATCAGGCGACTTGAAGTGCCTGTCATTTCTTGTGATTGGCAGAGCTTTAGAATTAGAATGACAATCAGAAATGGTGCACTAAATGTGTATTATTGCGTTTTCTCAGATGGCTTGTACTCTTGAGTGTGTATGACTCATATGCAAATAATGGTGAGACTATAAATATTGAAGCGGTGCTTCAAAATGTCATAGTTTCCTTCACATAGATAAATCCCACAATGCCTCAGTAACACTGAAAGGAACTCATTCAGGCATAAATGATTGTGATCTTCCTTAAAAGCACTACATGGCAAATAAAACACAGGATTGTGAGCAGCTGATATAACAAAGCAAAGATGCGCTTTTCTTCATAAAAAGTGAAATGAGGTGATGATCAACATGCCAGCACCGCTCCAGCATTTCTGCTGAAACTATTTAGTTGTTTTTACAGCGATGCACTGACTCTCCTCCAATCTCATTAAGTGGACACCAAACATCAAATGTGTCCTGCTTGCTCAGCATATCATCTGCGTGTAATTAAATTAGCCAGAGCCCCAGGGGGGCGGGCCGATGCTTACGAGGCCGTGTGCCTGGATGGCACATCGATAAGCAGGAGCTTAAATAAAACCCTGACTGGCTCACCTCTGACAGGAAGGTCTGTGCCGACTTCTGGGCTCCTACATGTAACAAGTACTCGTACACGTAGAGCGCTAGCCTGCGAAACAGACAGAAAAACACACAAACACAATCTCATTAATTCATATAACACTATGCTTTATAAGCATTCTATTCTATTCAGATATTAGGAAAATAATGCTAATGTACATAAATAGTTTTAAAGGCTACATACTTTGGATGTCAAGTCTTAAATTTACAGATTAAACCTTGTCACTGTTCAAAAGCAAGTATCACAATACCTGAAATCTAGAGTAGAATAATATGTTTATAAATACAAATATTATTATGATATTAGGTCTGTGAATAAAATAATAATTTTAATTAATAATTAAACTCAGTTTTCACAATCCCCAAATTAATGACTCAACATAAAATAATATAATTATTGAATTGCTAACATAATAATAATAATAATAGTAATTAGAAATAATCAGAATTTAAGAAACTGTTACAAACCCATCTTTTTAAAATAGCTTATCTTGATAAGTTTGATATCTTAATTTTTCTTGTATTGATTTCTGTAATTTTCGTATTTTTACTTGCTTTTACTGTTTGCAGCACTTTGGGTATAAGAAAAGCACATTATAAATAAAATGTGTGGTGATGATAATAATAATAATAATTATTATTATTATTATTTTAAATTATTATTATTACTATTATTATCATTGTTGTTTTTGTTATATAAATTATTAATTAAAAGTTAGCCACAAAAAAGTGAGAAACACATTAAGAAAATAAAAAAATATGCTGCATTAATTGCAAAATATGTTAAACAGTCCATATTAATTGGACCTTTCTGTGTAATACTTTATACCGTGCAAATGCTAAATTATTTTGTGATTTAAAGGTAAAATCAAGCATGCAATTTTAATAATCTGAGTTACATGTAAAAATTGCATAAAATCTGATTTATTAACAATTTATTTCCATAAACTGAAGTGGCCAATTGGAACAGACTATGTCAGATTCAGTGTAATTTTTGAAAGTTTCAACAAATAAACAGCGTTACATGATTTAAGGTATAATCCATGGCTGAAGCGCAGATAATGGGGGACTAGTTCAAATTAATTCACATAAGATTATGCTCTAAACCTTCTAGTCTAGTCTCATCTATTCAGATATTAGAAAAAATATGATTTATTGCCATATACCAAAGTGGCCAAAATTAAAACTGACAAAGATTCAGTGTGATTTTTGCTGTTCAGTGTCATCCAAAAAATATGTGAGGAGGAAAGCAATTTGGACCACACAGACTGTCTGAAGTATGAATCAAAGTTTCCAAAATCAACAAATTCCAAGTTTTACCCCTGAAGAAAACATTTTTCTTTTTTACTTAAAAGTTTTACTTGCCGCTGCAAGATTAATCTTTAATGAGCCGAAAAGAACGCATGTCACGCATGTTCATCAATTTGCACTGGCTACCAGTAGCTGCTCGCATTCCGAGACTTGTCATTTGCACTTATATATTGTTGCTCTTTTGTTAGTTTTGACTGCTTTTATTGTCCTCATTTGTAAGTCGCTTTGGATAAAAGCGTCTGCTAAATGACTAAATGTAAACATAAATGTAAAAGCCATAGTGACACTTCACTCTTGCAAGCATAAAAAAAAAATGAAGAAACCCGTGTAGAAAAGGTCAGGCTAGAGATTGCACCGGAACAGTGAACACCACAGAAAGACAAACTTTAGATGCAGATCAGCTTTCCTTATGCCGAACGATCTATCAAACAAAATGAGAGTTCAGAGGCATCACTTTGCCTGTCAGCATAGGCCAAAAAGTACCATTTCCTTTGAATGATGAACATGGTGACTGGGAGAAGAGAGAGGCATCCACGTTCATTCATCGATCTGCATTTTCAGATTTGATCACTTGACTCAGCACGGTTCATTTGAGGCCACCGCAGCTCTGTGCCTCAATACGAAATATTCACACACATCCTAAACCTCAGTGTGACATGTCTTTAACACCGGTTGAGAGTTAATATAACAGCTAAGGTATTGCCAGGTGGTTGCTAAAGTCTGTTTGGTTGCTATGAGGTTACTAGGGTGGCTATTGACTGGTCCAAGTCAAATGAGCTCATTCAAAGTCTCTATGATCCAAAGATGTGCCTCGGGCTCCTCCCTCAATGTAAATCTATGGGACCTTTCATAGATTTACTAGCACAGCATGGTATGATTTGAGGTATAATTCATGGGTGAAACATCCATAATGGGGTACTAGTTCAAGTTAATTCACATTAGATACTCTATAAGCATTCTAGTCTAGTCTAGTCTTGTCTATTCAGATATTAGAAAAAAACTATGCAAATGTAGCTGAATAGCTTCAAATGACTTTGGACTTGCAGTCTTAAATCTACAAATTAACATTAAAACTTGTGTTGTCGCTGTTCAAAAACAAATATCACAATATTTGAGACCTAATGTAGAACAATAAGTTTACAAATATATTTATATATTCAATTATATAATAATATATATAATATATTATTATAATATTAGGACCATGAATAAAGATTAAACTAACACATTAACACATAAAATCCCCAAGTTAATGTCAACTTTTTTATTATTTATTATTATTATTTAATGCTAGCCACAAAAAAGTGAGATAACATTAAGTAAAAAAAAAAGTACAATAAAAGATTAGATGCTGCATAATTTTATAATGAGTGGTTAAATAATGTAAATAATTTAAATACTTATAAATATCAATATTATTATGATATTAGGGCTGTGAACAAAGAATAAATAATTAAACTCACAGTTTTCAGTGTAACACAAAAATCCCCAAATTAATGTCAACATAAAGTAAATGTAATTAACCTAAATGCTTTAATAATAATAATAATAATAATAATAATTACTATTATTATTATTATTTCATGTTAGTGACAAAAAAGTGAGAAAACATTAAGAAAAAAAAAAAATAATAATAATAATAACAACAACAACAATAAATGATTAGATGTTACAATTCTATAATGGGTGGCTAAATAAATAATGTAAATTTAAATAATTGGGGATCAGTAAAGTTTCATTCTTTCATTTAGGTTTGTAAACCACTCATTTTAGTGCAATATATACTAATTTGCATATATAATCTAATATGAATATGTTTCACAATCAAATGGACAATTAATACAGCATGTAAAACCAGAGAACAGCTCTTTGATCAGGTGAGTTTGGCCAGTATTGACTAGTAGTGATCTTTGCATTTGATTTCAAACAGTTGATTTCAAACGCCCCCTTAACCTTGAGTGTCAGATACTGATTAACAGACAAGACCGGTAAAAACTGATTTATCACACATCTAATTTATCCTTCCCAAACCATCAAGAAACTTTGATGTCCCAACATCTCAGTTTGAAGGCAGCACTAATGACATTGAGTGAATGCAGAAGCCCAGTAGACCACAGTGCATCATTTTAGAACAAATGCAAATGAGTTTCACAAGCAGTTTGCACTTTCTGTCATTACCAGAGCCTCGTACACTGAGTAGCCGGTCGGAAATATGCCACCAAACGAATTCTAATGAATGACCAGGACAGAGCTTACACAAAGAGATGTGCGTCCACTTATCTGCACCTATATAAGAGCGTGTGGAATGTGACCAATCGAGGTAGAGAAATGAATGAAGAGAGAAGGAATATCAGAGGAACAAAGAAGCACGAGCAGGGCTATGTGGTGAGGATAATAACTACGGATACTGACGCAAACAGCAGAGAAGATGAAAGGAGTCGGGTGGGTGGAAAAGTGGGGGGCAATTAATACTCCAGAGGTCTAGAAACTTTGGTAATGTCATGGTGATGGGAATGACGGGGGGAGAAGCGCAGTGAAAATACCCCCTAGCAAGGCTGCAGAATGAACTCAATAGAAAACTCAATGTCTCCCTGCAAAATACTGAACAGAGAAGCTCACAGAACGTTAATCATCAAATAGACAGGCCTGTTTCTCTATATATACATAGAGGCCTAAGAAAAATATTATAAGTATTATTACAAATATTAGAAATATGATTGGATGAGCCACATATGTATTCATATATATACTGTATACAGATATGTGTATATATAGCGCGTTACAATGGTGAGGGAAAAGCTCCGTGTATTGCGTGTAATCACATCCATACAATTTATGATCACAACAACAACAACATTTGTCAGGCATCTACATTGTCATCTGAGGAGATTACAAAGATTAA